TGGCTCCCCCCCCCCCCCCCTATTTCGCCTACAGTCAAAATGTATAAACGTTGGATTGCATTTCCTCCAAGAAGTAAAATAAAAATGTATACTTTCAATTTATGCAGTTGACGTACGTGCTTTTGGAGTTTAGCTGTAAAACGGCTGATGTGTATATGGATCGCATTTAGCAAAAAGGAACCAACGCGATTACAGTGTTTTCAAAATTGTGCAACTTCCACTTCTCTTTTAAAAATACTCAATACTTATACAGTGTTAAACTTTACACAATTATTATCCTTAGCAATTAACAATTTTTTGGCGGGAAGCAAAAACAATTTGCTATTCTAGGAAATTTTTTAAGTAATTATGAAGAGGTAACATTTTTACAACACTGTAATCGCACTGGTTACTTCTTTGCAAAATGTGATCCATATGTGTTACGTGTGTACTTGTAATTCGAATTTCTACGTTTATGACCCAGTCGTATCGTGCAACCTGTGCTCTTTAGTTTGAACTAAAAATCGTTCCCGATAATTTTAGCCAAGCACGAGTCGGATAGAAGTTCCTGCGATTAAGTGAAGCGTGGTGTGAATGTGTGATGGCTAAAGAGAAGGGGGTAGTTTTGGGGTAGTACACCACTCTGCCGTGCTAAGGAAGGGCGCCGTATGAACATTCGAAAGTTGCCAAATTTCCCCGGATAAAACATGAATTTTAGAGGGACGTTATGAATATTTTTTTATCGAAATATTCAGATAATTTAGATCAAAATGCGAAAAAAATTGTCTGGAATGTTTGGAGAAAAATATTCAAAGTTTTCCCAGTAAATGCGGTTCTCATTGAAAGAAATATGGCAACGTCTGAAGGCTCATACGGCATTCTTCTTTAGCACGGCAGCACTGCATTCTGGAACGTCATTCGATAACATTCTCGCCACCCTGGTAAAAATTGGCGATAGGAGCTGCGTTTCAAAATACCATAGGAGTTCTCATAGCCGACTAAAGAAGGCTATTGAAAATCATATAGCCGGGTTTTACGAAGCTATAAAAAAGTATACAGTCGGGCTATAGTTCCTATCGCTGGGCTTTACACTTTATCGCCATTGGCTATAAAAGGCTATGAGAAATTGTGTAGAAATTCGTGTGCTTTGGAAATCATTAAGTTTCATACGGAACTACCTTAATAGTTACAAAACACACATTAAATTTTTCTTTAAAACATATTTTTTCCATCATAAGAATAATCCATACAGAGTGTGCAAACATTTCAAAATCATGAGTTGTACTTCGCGAGATTAAATATTAGAGCCTAACACAAAGTGGAGCGGCGACGCACTGGCGCCTACAAACCTAACAGGGTTACTTCACGCATTGCGCAATGCGTGAAGTAGGTATTCCTGTTAGGTTTGTAGGCGCCAATGCGCGTTTCGCGCTCTTTGCCCGCCCGCCGCGCCGCAGCGTGCCACGGCATCTGAAGCAACTATTTTACACCAGATGTATTGCACAGTATCATAAGAAAGTGAAGGCGCTCCAACATATTAAGAATGACAGGCATCCTTCAAAAGTACGGAGCTCAAAATAAACTCGCAAAATAAATCAAGATACTACGGCACAAAAAGAGAGCGGTGATCCAAAAACTAACTAAGTCCTAGTATCCGTATTTAGTAACGTTTAGCATAAAATTTATCGTCTGGCTGTTTCTTGATCGCCATTGGCTATAAAAGGCTCTAAGAAATTGTACAGCCGGCTACAGAAATTAACTATTGGAAATCTTACCGCCGGCTTTAGGTCTATAGTATTTTGGAACACACATTCTACTGCCAATTTTTACCAGGGCAAAACTTCCTCCACAAAAAATGTAGGTATCATTCAGGAGATTAAAGAATATTCCTTTTTAAATTTTTAAAAATATTCGGTTAACTTGCCGATAAAATTCTCTGAAAAATTCTAGGAGAATTGTTTTTCAGTTCTCTTTTCTGCAAATTTGTATTTTATGGGAGGAATTTTGGCATTTAAAGTTTGAATTTTCGTATGGCGTTTTCCCTTACCTACTGCCGTGCCAAGGAAGAACGCCTTATGAACATTCGAGAGTTGCCAAATTTCCCTTGATAAAATATTTATTTTTGACGGCATTCGCGCATATTTTTCATTGAAATTCTCAGATAATATAGAGTAAATTGCGTAAACAATTTTCCGAAAAGTTTGGGGGAAAATATTCTCAATTTATTTCCCTGTAAATTCGGTTTTTATCGAAGAAAATTTGTCAACGTCTGAAGGTTCATACGGCGTTCTTCCTTAGCACGGCAGAACACGACAGCATAACACAAGGGGTGGTGAATACAGCAAAGCTCCATGTTGGCCGACATTAATTGAATGCCGCAGGCAAAGATTCTACTCACACTGCTTTGTTGCCAAATCTACACATCGATGCTTACTTTTACGAGTTCCTTTGATTTCTTGGTTATGTATTTGTTTATATAAATTCTTGTTGTTTAAAGAAAGTCTTATTTAATTTTTATCGTCAAAATTCCAAGTTGAATTGAACTTTCTGTGAAAGTATCAGTGCCTTTTAAAAAAATTTAGGAGATAATTTTACTTACTGGTTCAAAAAGTAGAACTATACAAATTCAGCGATTTTCCATCATTCGAAGCGACCAACTGTCATTTTCTCTAACCTAAATTCATCAAGTAAGTAAAATACTTGACACTTCTTTGGCTACCTAATTACTTTCACCTTTTGGAGTAGAGCTGCATGAGAAGAACAAGTAGATAATTAAATTTAGTTCTTCCGATTTTATCCCTGTTTTTTCGTTAAAATTTACACCACACCTCATAACGGTCATCGACCTCACAGGAATTGTTCTTCGACTTATCTTATCTGTTTGTATATCGACGGTGAAACCTCTAAACACGAATCATAATAATAGAAAGGATAACCAGAGCGCCTTCAAGTTTTTACGTATGCAACGCGGACATCCATCAAGCACGAATAGTGGCCTATACGGCCGGTAGTATCCCCGGTGCATAGCACCTATCAACAATGAATCTCCCAAACCACGTATCTTGATTTGCGACGTTTCAGACTTCCTGTCACACTTCAAGTATTTTCTAATCAGAAATTCAACATCAATTTTTCAAAACTTCCGTAATTTGTGTTCTCCGTGCGTAAGAAATTCTGTGAAAACTTGAAGGGGTGCTGTTCATTTTTTTTCATTTAAAAAAATAAAATAGGAGCGTAAATTTTAAAAAATCGCGAACAAGTAAGATACGTTATTTGGGAATTTCACCGTTGATATACTCGTTACCTCACCTGCCTGATGAAAAGAAAAATGAAAAAAAAAAAAAAAAAAAAAAAAAAAAAAAAAAAAAAAAAACCAATTGATTTTTGCATATTTGCATGGGACTAGTGGACACAATTTGCCATGCTTTCTCTGGAGCCTTTGAGGCCTTTCCTCTGAAAAATTCGTGGAAAATCTCGGTTATTACTCGCTGAAGGAAATGAAATCATGACGGAATTTGTGCAAAACTGTAGCCGAGAAAATATCCTAAAAGTGTCGCCATCGATAGATGATTCTCAGTAGGTACTTGCATTCTGTCAAGGACCCATTCTCATCATGCAGGCAGCAGCGAAATATTAACTGATTTAATGTGGCTATACGTCATTCGATATATCGCTGAAGAATGATTGTGCCGCTCTCGAAACAGATAAATGATCGATATCAGAACCACTTATTTGGA